CTTTAAAATCCGTTGGGCAGTACGTCGACTAACACCACAAACAGTCTCCAATTTGCCCTAAAACAACCACTTCTGTTGCTTTGTTCCTTATGGGATTATCAATGTTGCGTTTTTTATTGTCGACTGACCCAGTTTCCCGAAATTTAGCTACAAGTTCTAGAACATATTTTTGATGCACGTTACTGTTCTCATGTCGCTCATTAAATATTTCTGCTGTTCTATTAGCGCACTGATTATTTCCGAAAAATATTTCGATAATTTCAACTCTTTCTGCTGTGGAATATACCATGGTTAATTTATGTAATAAAGCGTTACAAGTTAATTTAGCAACAAAGTCTGGTCAAGTCAATCGCAAACTACGTACTAAACTCCTATTTAAAATAAGTACGACATATTTCCTTATCTTTCTTCAAGAAATAACTTTTTTGCCACAAAAAAACGCTCCAATAGATATTTTCAACAACAAAGTGATAAACAAACCATGGGCGTAGTGAAGAAAAGCATTTACTTATTAAGTCAATTTTTTTCTGAAAGTAGTACAAACTAATCTGATGTACCTATTAAGGTCAACTCTAAGCTTTAAATAAATAAATCTTCAAAACTACTGAACTGAAGCTCATGTATTTTACATCATTATAAAGGGAATTGAAAGACCTGTAAAATAAGGTATCCCTCGACCCCCCTTTCCATTTAGGGTTGGTGTCACTCCCGCCCAGGGGGCTGCAGGTGTTAACGTGATTTTTTGCCAAAATTGTGTCCCCCTCGAAAACAAAATCGACGGGTCTGAAACTTTTTCCAAAAAAAAAACTGAGCTGCCAGTAAATGCGTCTGTTTCGTTTTCGATGCGCCACCCTGTATATTTATATTGCTTGTCATTTTTTAATCTGAAGTGAGAGTTGATCACTTTGTATACTGCATGTTATGTGACCCTATACATGTTTTGTATTCGTTAATGTAAATGTTTACACACATCTTGCAATTTTGTTTGCAACCCTTGCTTCCAACTTCTCCTGTAACTGTCGTTCAGAGCTTTGACGTATCCTAGGTCATCAATGATGATCGCTTAATAAAGATGATTCTTCTTATTATTATTAAATACTTATCGACTTCGCTCTCGAAACCCACCAACGAGAACAGTAAGAACAAATGCAAAAGAGACATTCAGCATTACCAACGCATGGTATGAAGAATGGACTGCACGGCAAAACAATTTCATGCCTAGCATCACCCACAAACCACCTGGATTTGACTTACCACACAAAACATGGTCCACTCTAAATAGGATTCGAACTGAATAAATGGGGTAAGCAGCCATCTCCTCAGTGTGACTGCGAATTGACTCATCGGCATCGGTTTGAAACCTCCAAAGAAGGTATAGGAAGTAGAGAGTCAACCTACTTGACGTCATTTTTTAGCGCAAATCAAGCGAAATGCCCGTCAATAAGCCAGAAAAATGCCTTTATAAAAGACAAGTGTTAAAGTTCCAGCATGACTGACCGTCGTAAAGCCCGACGGAGAACAATCACAAAAACTGTGGGAGTGTTGAATTTATGATCCAGAACTTATTATAGCCATTAAGCCAGTTTAACGCTTTTCAATGTAATACATAAAACTGGAGAAGGATTTTACGGTGATCGTTTGCCCAAGATGGCGATTAACCAGCGTAAATCAATATTTACGAAGACGTAAAAAGATAATCGTGACCCTTATCTACTAGCGGTATGTGGATTGAATGAGTTCAATATATGAAAATGCTTGTAAAATTTATTTGAAATCGAGTTCCAAGAGTAGGTGTTCAGCTTTTGCCTAAGATTAGTAGAACTAGGACAGATGAGTGGTCGAATCGCCCAGTTTCGATGTACCAAGTTCGACACGGTTAGGATGGGAGCCCGAAGTCAGGCGGACTTGTTTGGCAAGTATATCGCGTGGCGGCATCAAGTACGAGGGATGTCTTTTAAGTTTTGCATATGGAAATAAAAGAACACGGTAGGTAGTTTTAAATGACTTTATTGTTTTTCGAAGTATTTTCCACGAAGATTAATACACATCTGCATGCGCTCGACCCAATTTTCAAAACACTTATTCCGCTCGTTTGCTGGCAGATCCAAAACGGCATTTTTGAATGCGTCAACTGCTTCTTCTGGTGACTGGAAACTTTGACCACGCAGTCTGGTTTTAATTTTCTGGAAAGTAAGGAAATCGTTAGGACTTAGATCGGGACTATATGAATGATGGTCCAATAATTCCACGTTTTATTCCGTTAAATACTGCCTTGTTTTTTGGGCTGTGTGCGAGCTTGCATTGTCTTGGCGGAGGATGATTATTCTTTCGGGGTTGGTTTTTCGAAGCTCGGTGATGACTTTTGGCAAACAAATGGTGGTATACCAATCCGTAGTAACAGTTCTTTCCTCATTAAGAGTAATTGTTGCAATATGGCCCGCTTTTGACACAAATGTCGCGACCATCTTTTTCGAAACACTTCGAGAACGGATGACTTTTGTTGGCTTTTATTCACCTTGGAACACCCAAACAGCCGACTGTCACTTGTTTTCTGGTTCATAACAGTTAATCCACGATTTGTCACCACTAACAATGCTGTACACACTTTTTGAGTTCCCGGAATTGAAACGGTCAAGCGTTTTTTGACACCAATTAACCCTGGCTGCTTTCTGCTCTTCAGTCAACAGGTGGGGTATCCAACGAGAAACTAATTTTCTTACTCCTAATTCTTCATGTAAACTTTTTTGAATTGAGGTCTTTGAGATCTTCAAGGACGTCTCAATCTTGCGATATGTCACATGTCTATATTCAATGATGAGTTTGCGCACAGCACCGACGTTTTCCTGCGTGACTGCCGTTTTTGGTGCACCCACCCTGGGATCGTCGCTAAGACTCACCCGTCCACGTTTGAATTCTCCATACCAACGGGAAATTGTCGACTGATGTGACGCTTCGTTGCCGAAAACAGACAGTAACTCAGCAAGGCCTTCTTGTTGCGATAAGTGTCTCTGAAAGTTGTAATAAATTATTGCACGAAAATGTTCTCGGTTGAGTTCCATTTTTCTAATGACTTGGTGACACTCAAACATTCACTGTAGTGAGAACACTGCACGTATTGTTGTGAAACTTTGATGACATCCCTCGCAGCAAGCCCGATGGCGTAGTGATAGAAGAGAGCTCGATCGCCAACGGCTCGACGGGTACCGGGACTCGAGGTTCACGAGAGTAGGGGAACTATTCCAGAAAAAGACAAGGTCAAAAGCAAATTTAAAATGATGCGAGAAACGTCTTACTTTTACTTCCTGCGCCACTGGGCGAGGTAGTATTGAAATCGCGAAGAATGTCGAAAATAAGGTATTATGTTTTTGGAAAACAAGGTTGGCATCTGATAAAGCAAGCTCTTAGCTTTAGCTTAGATATTTGCTGATCTCAAATATTATAATTTTTAAAAAAGTTTTTAAGCATCGAGTATACCCACGTCACTGATAAAATTTGTTTAAACAACTTTTTCAAATAAATTACACTGTTTGCCCAGCCAATTTTCTTTCATATGTCTTGTATCATTTCGAATCCATAAACTTTTCTCTGAAGCTAACTATTTTCGAGCTATGTGCGATTCAATGTCTAGCTATATTCAATGCTTAGAAATTCGGTTAAAGATTATAATTTTGAAGTTTAATGTTTGCGTCACAAGACTGGTATTTTAAGGTTACTTTATTTTTAAGCGATTTTTAATCCGCCAAAATTGGCGGACTTTTGGTTTTCGCAAACTGTACATACATCACGAAAAACTTTGTTTGAGCTCGCTAATTAATACTTGACCCGCTATAACCTGTGAAGTACCGGTCAGACTTTCATGAAATTTTCACACAGAGTAGCTGCTATGCCAAGGACGAAAAGCCTTGTAGTTTTTAAAAGTCGGTCCACTAGCGACGGAGAAAAATGCCAAATACGAAAGAAATAAAAATCCTTCAAACTTGGTATTTTGGGGTTAGAAGTTGAAGGAGGGTGGGGGATGTTATACCCCCATTTTTGGCGGTAATATATTTATACTACATACACTATACAAAACCAGTAATTCTACGCACCTATTGTACGTATATAGATTTCCTTGTACATTTACCCTAAAAATTCAGGATGATAGAGAAAAATCTCTCTCTATCGAGTGGCTTTATTGAGCGATGAAGCATAGAGGAAGGAGCATCGTTGCCAGATGGATGGTACTATTGGTAAGATAGGAAAAAGATGTAGGAATCCATTTTATGGCCCTATTTAACTGACTTGATCCGTTTATGTATGTATTTTATTTAACACAATGACACAACAGAGAATATGGCAGGTCATATATGTATAAAGTATAGCACCAAAAATAACGTTTCAAGGAGACAGGCACTATAACAGATTAAGTTATACTTACAAGACATGTCGATGCTAAAGCACCTAGAATTCGGCATCCAAATATTAATTTATTGAATAGAAACAGTTGCTCAGCAAACATAATTTCACACTGTCCTTGTGCTTATTATAATCTATTTTTCTCAGGTCAGAAGGTAGTTTATTAGTTAAGATCACACAATTTTATAATATGGTGACCGCTTAAAATCTGATGTAGTGTGATTTTGTATTGCTAGAATATTGATGTTTCTAGTCTGATATGTGTGATGGTACTCAGAAGTGGTGATTTTTTTTTTGATGAAGGTAACACATTTTAACATGTATACAGGGTGTTTCAAATTCGACCCTCATTATTGGGATCAAGGAAACTGTAAGACATACAGATGGGGGCAAAGCTGTGTATTTAGGTAACCAACAAAATGTCACTAAAAAGTTTCGAATTTTTCCAAAATCGTATTAATTTTTTCCTGGTTTATTAAATTTATAAGGGGCTCTCAGAATAAATTGCATATAAACATTACCACTTTTTCTTTTCTACTATTCTATTTTTTCTCATGGACGCCATACTGGCTTTCTGCATACATACAAGACGTATACATGATTTACTCCAAAATCATTTTTATTTCTTCCTGACTTATTTGAAATCGGATTTCAAAATAAATTGCATTTTCTTATTGCTACTTATTCTCCTCTACAATATGGCGTAGTCAGATTCTCAATTCGACATTTCTCCTTTCGTCTTCCATCACCAACTGTGTTTTTTATGACATGAGTTTGATGTTCGATGAAAGTTATAGGAAAACAAAAAGGTAAGATGAACCCTGAAAACAACATGAAAATGTTACTGATGGTAATAACAACAATAATCATAAATAAGCAAATGTAAATCATAGCAGATGTTCAAAATGTTGTCCGTTATTTTGCAATCAAAGCCCGACTCTTCTCTGTACATTGTTCACTGCTCGATTTATTTCTCTTCTCCTCAGTCTTCCAAACCCTGTTGCTATGTTCAATTTGAGGTCTGTATATGAAACAAATGAAATCTGATAATTTCAAGGCCTACCTAGGATCTTTTTCTGGAATAACTAGGGTTTGGCAATGTCAATGTATGACACATTATACATTTTTTAAATCACATAAATAGTCTATTCATCTGTGCAAAACTCCAATATGGCGCCTATAAGAAAAAGTATAGTTGATGCTGGAGGACAAGTGATGAAACATCATAATGAAATGCGGATTTTACCATTGTGTAGAGGAGAAAAGGTGATAATGTTAATATGCAATTTATTTGAAATCCCACTACAAATAAAGAAAGAAAAAAATTTAAGCTATTTAGATAGTCGAATTTTAAACGCCTGGTATACATCTCAAAGTTAATATATTATTATATTTTGAAACTTGTCGTCAAGAGTTTCTCTGGTTTATCTGTTCGTAGCTAGTTTTTTTCTGAGGGTCTATTTGTGCTTAACATAATCTTTTATGAAATGATTACAGCATTTCGTGGGAATTGCATATTCTTTTGTAGTCGAAAATGGTTTATTTCCCATTTTTCCAAATAACAAATAGCTTGTGCCTTAATACTGCCCAAAAACCTGAAACATTTGTTCATAGCTTTTGGAAATTATTTAAACCCAATCTTGACGCAATGTTGGGACTGGCAACATGCAGATTCGTGAAGATGAGCACTTTTTTTGATAAAACGATGCAAAAAACCAATCAGAATGTTTTTCCAACCAGATGCATAGACACTTTATATTTTATATTTCATCTCTGAATTTCTTTAGTATTTTTTGCCTTTGAGCGTTAGAGGGTAACCTATCCATTGCATCACTGGCGTTTCCTCGTTCTTCTTCCACTGCGCTGTAAAACCTAACACCAAAAAAGGAAAATCTATCCAGGATTTATCGCTGGATGCCCAGATCCGGCTATAAATACATTTGGGATAAATAACTCGTTTGAAATTCGAGTAAAGCCAGCCTCTTTTGTGCTTCTATGACTAAGGAACAAAAACGTCGTTGGCGAATTACCAATTTAATCCCAAATCCTAGTAATATTTGCGTGATGCCACGAAACCAAACTTTCGTATGGTTAAACGTTAGCATTGTTCGAACCACTGCGAGCATTGTTTAATACTAATAGAAGGGTTTGAACAGCCCGAAATGCTTATTGATTACTAGTTTGCTGTTTCTATCGTGCATTTGGGAGAAACTATGCATGAATGGATTGCAAATATTTACCACAATTCCACCTATAGCTTCGCATGTATTACACATACGGGGACTCAATGTGCCAGATCAATTAATGTTGTTACGCCGCAGCTTCACAGTCTCTTTCACAAGTATTAATTGCGGTAGGATAACAACTTATTATCTAGTAATATCTCAAAATTCGCCGTGTCGACAAGTGACACACAATTCTGACGGATCCGTCAACGTTAGGTAGACCGAGCAGTACTTCTGGTATACTTTTTCATCCACTTCGGATTCATTTTGTACTTGCTAACAACTTTTTTATTTAGAAAAGACTGCCGCATAAAAAAATGCTACAAGCAAAATGGCTGCATACGATCATCTACAATTCACGTCTGCTAGGAATAAAATAAACATTTTTTGACTTTGTTAATCATCTCTACTTTTTATAACCTGAAACTGAACTGTATAGTAAAAGAATTGTTAAGCCGTAAAAGCTATCTTTTGTTGTTGCCCGAACACTAAAATGCTGGTTTAATGTAGTGTGAAATGATAATTCGTTTCTTGCAGCATATTTGCTCTAAAGCGAGGTGTCTAAAACATTCTTGTATCATACATGCATGCTTTGATGTGCAAAATGGCTACTTTACCCAACAAGTTGCTTCCAACGGACGTACTTATACAACTGTCGTTTAATAACTGTTAAAGGCTATACATTCGCAACAATATCACAACTTTTATAAGTCAAAATTGCTGTCTTCGGCATAGCCTTTTTGCTAAATATATCCTATTTCACAGCTGATTATCTAGTAATATCTCAAAAATTCCCCATATCGGTACAGAACACATAAGTATGGTAATTCTGACGGATCCGTCAACGCCAGGTAGACAGAGAAAAATTTTGTATTGATTTTTTGTACGCTACAGATTCATTTTGTATTTGCTACCAGCTCTTTTATTTCTAAAAGTTCATTTGCATAGAAAAAACGAAACGCTATAAACAGGTTTCACTAAAATTACACCCGATTCATTATTGCCAACGTTGCAGACTAACACAAAAATGTCACTTGCTGATCAGCTGTTCACCTCAGTAGATGTCAAAGCGTGACGGATACTCGTGAAATAGGGTATATATAGATATACAGCTTCACCATAACCTAATGTCATCTTTTTAGGTCAAACGCCTTGACCATAATTTTTCTCCTTCAATACAAGCAATGCATGAATATTCGTTGTAAAGGCTTGATCAACTTTTCAAACAGATAGTGTAGATCAGGTACAAATTCTAAGTAAAGCATTCTGCTCTATCCATATTTCATTTGAGAGTCTTGGCAAATTGCTGTATAATACCTGCAGATAACATCAAAATGTATCCCCCATGCCGCTTGAACAGCTGTTCTAAGAACGCTTTGCCAATGCTCTTGCAGTCTACAATCCTGTGTAAAAACTACTATATAAACATTCTTGCAACCCAAACTGGATTGATCCCACTTCTGTTAGGGTTGCAAGAACGTTTATGCAGTATTTTTTACACGGCATTGTAGGTTGCAATAGCATTGGCATAGCGTTCTTAGATCAGCTATACAAGCAGAATGTGCGCACCTAATAAAACACCAGACACTTAGGATGCTATATGAAGGGTGCAGGTTACAGTTATACAACAAAATTGCATCCGTTAAAGAACCTTTGCGTCAGTGCAATATTCAACTTTTGTCAACTATGCAACCATTCTGTTACATGATTCTACTTTATTGCAACTAAACTATTTTCTATGTATTGTGTAGGCGAATTGAAGAATATTTTTAACTATCACGTTACATTCACTTGTTTACTGACATATCGGCCATTGTGAATTTCATACACAAGTAGCTATTTTAGTTTCTACATTGTGATGAAGGGCTATTGAATAACTTGCGCAGCTAATTTTGTTGAGATTCTCGTACAAAGAATTGCTGTTTTTTTTGGCTTCGTATTTAGTTATTTTAATATTGATAAAAAATATGTCTAGATTTTTAAGATGAAAATCTGAACTTATCAGCTTCAAATCTTCAACAAATCATATATTTAGACATAATTAAAATAACGTGTATCATTATCTACCTGTAATGTCGGAGTGAAATTATTTGATTTTCATTAGATGACTATCTTTTTTACCCAATATGGCGGGTGTTAATGTTCAATCATACTTCTTGAGTTATTAGAACATTTTGGTGTTATTCGCAGGTGTTATACAAACAATTTGGCAATTTTCTAAAATGAAATATGAGCAGCGTCGAATGCATTACTCATAATCTGTACCAGATCTACACTATGTGTTTAAAAGGTCGACAAATTCTTTATAACGAATATTCATGAGTTGCTTGTCTTTGAGAAAAGAAAATAATGGTTATGGTATTTAACCTAAAAAGATTACAGCAGAAACTTGAGGTTATGGAGTAGTCGTATATCTATATATTAGGCAACAGATGCATTGCTCATACATTTTGTCCCATAAATGTAATGTTGTTGCAGATGTATAGCCTTCAACACTTACTAAACGACAGTTGTATAAATGCCTCTGGTGGGAGCAACTTGTTGGCTAAAGTAGTCAGTTTGCACATCAAAGCAATAAGGTACGGATTTGTTGTATAAATGTTGCCATGGATACCACAACAACATTATTTATCCTATAAGGTATTGTATAAGTATGCTACAAAAACTTTTTACGTTAATTTGCATTCCACACAACATTAAGCCAGCATTTTGGTGGTCGGGGAATAATAGGTACATAGCATCACTAGAACTGGCTTATTTAACAATTAGGTACTAACAGATGGCTTATGGAGTAGTTGAGTGTTGGTACTACGAGGTTAGGTCAGACGAGGTGTATTTCTACTACAACAACAGACTGCGCGTTGCAAATAGCACCGAAGAAAACGGAGGTAGTTATGCTGACACCCAAGAGAAAGATGTCTGCTATTACCTTTAAGGTGCAGATCGACCAAATTTTTGAAGTACCTCGGAGACTGGTTTGATACTAAGCTTACTTTTGCAGACTATATAGACAAAAGGGTGCAAAAGGCGTCCAAAACTGTGATGACGTTGGGGTCCTAGGGCCAGCAAAAGGAAGGTTCTATACCCGGGGGCGCCATCAGCCCTCCTCTATGCAGCACCAATATGGTGTACAGCACTCAGTCGCGCCAAGCTGCGGCAGAAACTTGAAGCAGTTGGAAGGAAAATAGCATTGCGAGTATGCAGCGAATATCGCGCAGTTCCACTGTAGCCGTCGCAGTAGGCAGATCTTCTACCTATAGAGCAAATAAGTATTAGAACGATGGGATAGGCTAGACGGAATGGCAAGAGCAGAAGCTTGGTAACTGCTACTCCAACGATGGCAAGACTCTTGGGACACAGCTAAGAAGGGTCGCTGGACGTGGCGTCTCATCAGGAACGTGGGGCAGTGGGTGACTAGAGAGTGGGGGGAGGTCGACTTCTATCTCAAGCAGTTTCTCTCGATGCACGGATGTGTTGAGGCCTATTTTCGTCGTTTTCATTTGACAGAAGACCCCGTATGTCTGCACTGTGGCCTTCCGGTTGACGCATTCCACACGTTTTTTAAATACGACAGGTGGGATACAGAACCTAACAACTGCCAGAACCGGCTGGAGGCCGATATACGCCCGGACAGCATCGTCCAGCTGATGCTGTCCTCCCAAGCAAACTGGAGTACCGTGGCTACTTTTGTACATACCGTCCTATGCAGCAAGAAATCAGCAAGACATCGCACGCTGAGCACCGCAGATAGCCTGAACTCCTAATCCCCATGTATATGGCGGAGGGGAGATGTAGGCAAGAAGATCGAAGAATGAACTGAACAAAGAAGAAAAGACAGCCCCCAACTTGAAGATATGTCCACTAAGATAGTTCCGATAAAGAAAAACTACAACAACGTGCTTCTCGGAGCGATGTTTTGTGCGGTCCACTCCTGACCCCAGTGCAGATGCTTATTTGATGAATGCTGTTGACAGGTAGAGCTCAAGTAATAAAATATTTTATAGCGGCATCTGGAGGGTATACATTATTTCTTCTTGATATTACAGGAATAATAGACATCGATTTCTAATCTTAGCCATATTCTAAACCAAGAGATCAAAGTTCCTAATATTAAAGTACTAACAAAAAGATTTTACAAGTTTTTATTATTAAACATAGAAGGGCTGAACCTTTATAAGTGGGGTGTGAACCCAATGAATTAATTAGCTTACCTTTTTACCTACTTTGTGATGTACAGGCTGGCCAACTAAGAATACGAGGCACTGTATCTGGAAACCTATCCATCGCTGAGGCTTGCGGTAAGAAAGTTTTCACTAAAACGGCCAAAAAAAAAACCTGGAAAGTATGTTCATGTTTCTGAAATCTCCGCTAGGGGGCGTAACTGCAATCTTGAATCCAAAAAAGTGATGTTTCTGTGAATTCGGCTATATTAACCTAATAAAGAAATGCCTGGTCTTTAAAGTCGAGGATGTTGTGAACTTTTTGTGTTTGACAATTTTGGCTGTATCTCTAAAAATAAAGTGGTGGGGGTATTCAAATCTTTCCGTAAGAAACTCCATGTATCTTCGAAATGGCTGAGACGATCTTAACAAACTTGGACTACTTGAAAAAACTACTCTTGGGCTACAAATATTATAATATCTGAAGTTTTGTTAGTTTCACATGTGGCCGCTGGGGACTGATCCATTGGTACGTTTTTTTATGAAAAAGTAGCTGAATTATGTTTTAACAAGCTCACGAATGCCGCATCTAGATATCTTGTTCCTAACCTAAATTTTAGGCCAAAGAAAATGTTATTCGGAAATACCGTAAATTTTAATTTTTTTAAATTAAATTTCCTGGAATTCTTTTTTATTCATCAGAATAAAATCATCCTTTTTGGAAATATTGCAAAATATCGCTAAAAAGTAAGTAAGTAATGCTATTAACAAAAGGCATATTTTTTGTTTAAATGCATATTCACTATGGGGATATGCGAAAAAAGACAATTAATAGAAGCAGGCCATGGAATACAACAAAACAAATACCTAATCAAAACATATACGGCAATCAAAATTTAGAGATTAATTTAAATTTAACTTGTTTTTAATTACTTTCAGGATGTATCCATATAATGTCATCTTGCATCAGGCCTTGAAAGAGGAAGGCTTTGATCGGA